TTTTGAATACTGGAAGTATGACAAGCACCCTCTGAAGTTACTTTTAAAAGTTTTCTGCAGGGTCTTTTCTTACAGTTTATTCTATTTGTGACTTGTTGATCTGAAGTAGCACAGATCAGTTATTAAATAATGCCTTTATTAGTCTGCCTAGTGACTTCTATGCTTCATTGTCTTTGCATCTCCATGCCACTTCAGGTGTGAACAGCCAAACAGAAGGACTTCCCAGTCAGGTTTCAAATCCTAATGTTTTGCCATCTTTGTTTCACAGAGTTCTGATGCCTCTGAAGTGGTAATCCTGGAGTGCTTCTGGGTAGTGGAATTCAGGATTAAAACAGATGTTTCAATAGTTCTCAGTAATTAAGACATATCTCAATGTGTGACTCTTTTATTACTGCCAACAAAAATGAAAATACAAAAACCTCAGCTTCACAGGCATTGGAATTTTACTAGAAATTTAACTAAAATACATCCTGCTATCTGTTTGATGCATACACTTAAATACCGGTGGTCTCTGAATTCATGCCTACAAAGAAAATCCTAAAATCAAGTGAAAGTAATGTAATCATCTTCCTCTGACTTTAAATAGAAGTTTGAGTTTCTGTTTTGTCAGGTATCTTGTACAAGATGGGGTTTATGTTGATGCATAGTCAATGTATGCTATTCTTCAATACGTAATCATTGCTAAACTCCCTATTAAATGACAAGTTTTCTCTTTTTCTTACCTCTTACCGATTCTTCATTCATAAAATTGTTAAAAACAGCAGAAAAAGTAGCTATCTCATATAATTCAGAATCCTTATTTAGGGGAAAGATTTTATTTGGAGAAAGTGCTGACAGTTTGCTCTGCATGAGCCACTGAAATAGTCATTGTATTATAATTTTTTTATTACATGAATTCTTTCCGATACCTCTGCAGAGTTTTGAATTCCTTAGAACAGTTTGCCATTTTCTGTTAGCTGTGATGGTCTAAGAGCTGAGGTAAAAAAAGTTGGGCTGCATTTGTGGGCTGGATGGATAAATTTAAATTCAGTAGAAGTTCCTATCATCTTTTTATGCACCAAAATCTCCAGCCCACTTCTAAGAAAGGGTTGCATTAATTATGCTGACTTTTGTCCTCACCTACCTCACCTATGAAGTGATTCATAGTGGTTGGTCATGTTTTAGACGGCAGTGACTTAAATGATATTCATTGTGGATTTTATCCTTATCTGGGTAGTATTCTGGGGAATAGCTCAAATCCTTCATTTTTTGTAGGGAACAAAATCATATATTTTGAGCCTGATGTTGAGGCTCAAAAAGTATTTCTTTCTGGGTTTGGAAGCATTGCTTTCCCTAACTATAAGAGCTGAATGTTTCTCATTGACTCTCAAATTGAGACTTTCTAATTGTGCCCTTAATGAGTCCAGTTCATTCATAGAATTCCCAACTTTATGAGTATGAATGCAGTCATGTCAGTTCCCTTCTGGCACTTGTGTTACAATGCCTGAACACAATACTGCTGAACTGAACTCAGAATACAGCTGTAATTGCTGACATGACTCAATTAGCTTTGAAGCTTGCAAACAGGATCGTTTCTGTGGCAGTGACACTGGCAGGTTTTAAGCCCAAAAGCTGGGGACATAACTGTGGATACTAAGTAAGCACTTCAGGCTGCCTGTGGAGAAAAAAGAGCCTGTGAATATGTGTGGAGGAAGAAATAAGCTTGTAAAATTAGGAACTAGCTGAGAGACAGACTTTCCAAAATCAAGTTTTGAAGGTTGATGGTGTTTCAGTAGGAGCCAGAGGTAAGGGTGGCATTCTGTGCGTCCTCTAAAAACATATTAAAGGGGAAAATAGGAAACAGTGTAGAAAACTCCAGGTAAACAGAGCCAGCAAATGATGATAAATACCTAGGGCATGACCAAACAAGATAGAGGAAAAGACAAGACAGGTAGAGGAGAAATGTATTTCCAGACTTGGCAATCTTTCCATGCTAGAGAGAAAGGATGGCAACCTGGCTGATGATTTGTTGGATGGGAAAAGAAAGCCGGAGTATTAAGAGGTATTAGAACAAAACTGAAGACAAATGAAGATGATATACAGTGTACAAAATGAGGATAAAATACTGAAAGAAGGGAAATAGTAATCCATGTACTGTAGGAGAAAACAAAATTCAGAACACAAAATGGGGGAGAAAAGCAAAACTTAGGAACTAGGAAGAGAGGCCTTTTATCAGTAGGGGCTTTGGCCATGAAAAGCTAGTTGTGTTGTCACAAGATTAGATCCATTGGTGTTCTGGTTTGAAAGCAAAACCAGTGAGAGACTCCAAGTCAGAAATACAGTTTATTAGGAAAAGGAAAAAAAACCAAAATACATGCAATAATACAAAAGAAAACCACTGACAGAGTCAGAATACAACCTGACACCCCTTTGGTCAGCGTGCTGGTAGCAGTCAAAATTGGAGTAGCTGCAATCCTCCTGGAGAGGCAGGTGTGGTTCTGTCGGAGCAGTGATCCTGTAGAAGGGTGTAGTCTTTCTCTGAAGGCCCAGTGGAAAACCCCAGCTGTTCTTCTTGGAAACCTGTGGGAAGGCTGGCTCTGATGTCCCCAAAACTCACATTATATCCAGTTGGGATTGCTTGGCTCCTCCCTCTGGGTGGAGCATCTCACAATGGGATGTTCTAGTTCTTATCAGTCACACTGTGACATTCAATAGCCCATTACCAGCAGATGTCTCCCCAGAGGGAGGATTGGTTGTGGAAGAAATAAGGAAAACTGCCCAATTAACAGAAGACAACTGATCCACAGATGGCAATAGAATACATCTTGCTTCTCAATCTCAGATAATTGGCTATTGGGAACCAAAAAAAGCTATACAATGTGTATCTAGGACTTTAAAGGATTCAGATGAAAACAGGATAGGAGGTTATACCTGTTCACAACGTCAAATTTCTTGTGAAACTGATAGAGTTGTGTCACAGAATATCAGAAGCTCCAAGAAAGGAGGCTGTGAGATTTAACTTGTGGTAAAAGGACATTTTCTTCATCTTCCAAGCTTCAATTTGGAACTGTGAAGGGGGACTGGAGAGAGCCTTTGTCCAATTGTCTCCATGTGTCTCTGACTGGTGGATTGAATCCTAGATGTTTTAAGAGTGAGAAATGGAGACTGACTGGCATGTTGAGGAAGAGAACATAATGAAGGGCAGTGGAGTAAGCATGGAGGGAAAAATAAGGACATGTTCATGCAACCTCTAGTGATTCTGTGGAGCTGCTGATCACCTCAGGGCACTGTGGGCCTTGAAACAGGAGGGCTGTACAGAAATCAGAGCAGATAATCCTGTCAGAGCTTCAAGTTGAGTGCTCCTGAAGCAGCCTAGCTCAGAAGGTTTCCAGAAGTGGAAACCGTGGTCCAGAAGTGGACCATGGAAGGAAAGAGAAGGATTAGATAGGTGGACTTTAACTCTGCATATGGCTGATGGCTTTATGTGCCCTTGTCATGGGAACTGGTCACCATTAGCAGGAGATGGCAGTCTTTGGGTCATTGTTGTGTTTCCCTGAAACAGGGCAATAGGAGCTCTGTGACTCGATGTTCAAACTGACCGTGGGAGCAGTCTGAAGTTGACCACTGTGTTGTACAGAGTGTCATGCATGTACAGCTTTGCTTCCTTTCTTCCACATGATGGTGTACAATGCAAAATTGGGAATGTCCTCAAGAGGCACAGGCACAGTGAAGGGAAACCAGATGAGAGAGAGAGAGAGCATGCAAGTACTGCCTTCTCTTGATCTGTAAATCTCTTCTGTCATTCAGGAAGAGAGATTCCTTAAAAACTGTATTGCTTCACTGTGTGTGGTCCTTTAGAGTTAGGGAGGTAAGATCTGTAACATCAAGGTAGGGCTAGTGAGGAGGGTGGGAGGGAGCAAAGGAAGAAAACAGAGCTTTTCATACAAGGTCAGTCATCTAAATCATATTAGATTAATTTAGTAAATCAGGAAAATAATAAAAAAGGGGCTTGTTTGTAGGAATGCCTCTAAGACAGCAAGCATTCCTTTTTGCCATTTGTAGTATGCAAGCCGCCTAAACTTGGAGATATTTGTTTCAATAGTAGTGTTTGTTTCAATTGTAGTGTCTTGGAAAGGCAGGTCAGGATCACTCCCTATTTTAGAGATGGAATAAGTGAGGCATATGCAAGATTTCTGCTGCGGATCTAGGCAGAGAAAGATCTCTGAATCCTGCCTTTTTAAAGGCAGACTGATGGTCCACCTAGAGATATGAACTGCTTCCATTCAGCAAAAGCAGTCCACTGCTTTGCAGGGGCCACTCTTGGAACTTTCAGTAAATGCTGCAGTGTATTTGTTCAGAGATCTTGAGATACCATTGTGGTATTCAAATATTTGTGTGGTTTGCATTGCTTCCAGTATAGGTGTGGTATTTAATGAAAGGGTAGAAGCAGTGTGGCATATGTGGAAGCTGACAGGTTTGAAAAGAAACAGTGTTGTATTACGGTAGTCATCCTGGGCTATCCTGCTAAATTAATTTCAAATACACTCTTTGTGAGGTTCTGTAGGACTTAAATGAAGCTTATAACTTATGTAAGTTTATTCCAGCATTGTAAAATTTATAAAAATAACTGAAGATAAAATTTTTAATTAAATTCTTTATCATTGATTGAAAATGTACTTCCAAAGAAAGATTAACATAGCATCATGAGTAACCATGGGATGATTTCATCACTACTAATTTGAACATGAACATGAAATGCATCAGCATATAGAACTCGGACAGCTTTGTGAATTAAAAGCCTCTGATGTCTATATTAGAAATATCCTGTGGATATAATTTATGTATCAAAGCTTTCGTTCTACTTTTGTTTCAGCACATGGTGGTTAGCTGTGATGGTGCTTTATATTTTAGAGTGGCAATGACTCACTAATATTCTTAACCCTTTTCCTCTGCTGAACTAGAGTCTGAGCTGAGAGTGACTTTTTTGCTGGTGTATGTGAAAAGAGACAGACAACGTTTAACTTGTTTGAGCTCTCTTGCTTTGCATACTAGCATAGGAGGAAACAGTGATCCCCTAAAAAAGTCAAGGCTGTCATTGTGGATGTTGACCGTGGGCTTTATACATTTTATTAATTTGAATTATCCCAGTAATTTCTTCTTTGTCCTGTTCAACATGATGTTATGCTGAAACTCTCATGATGGAAAATACAGCAAGCCAAAGAGTATCAGTCTTCCTGTCACCTCTACCTGTTGAGTAAAATAAACCAATAAAATCTTCTTAAAAAAAAAGTTAATAACAAGTGAGTAAGATGTAAAACCAAAGTGGAAATGTATTTGTTTTATTTTATTATGTTTTTATTTTGAGAACCTTTCCATTAAATTGCAGTCTTTTGAAAGACAAGAATCAGGTCCAATAACTGCCTACATTTTTTTGGTGAATTACCAGAAACTAAAGTTTCTGTGTAAAAGATTGTGATTAAAATTACAACAAAATACTTAAAAAAAATTAGGGAAATGTCACTCAGGACATTTTTAGCAAGAAATTTGTTTGCATCTTAAAAATAACTGACCTATATAAGTATTTAGTGGGAAAAGAAGCAACTGCTACTGTTAAATTGAAAAACTTGAGAAGAATAAATTTTATTAGGAAATAAAGAAGAAAAGTTTTCTGAATACGAAGAACTTGACATCAACATACATTTCTGACTTTAGGCTGTTGGATTAGTGTAGAAAAGGCTTTCCAGTGCCACTAGGAATGTATCAGCTGTTTGTGCTGTTCCCTGACAGCAGTTCTTCAGAGTAGGGGCATTGAGTTATTTATTTGAGCAGCACAAGTCCTGTGGGACCAAAACTTTCTGTGCTGATTTCTGTGGGAAAAAGTCTCTTTGAGACTGTGCTTAAGCAAAGAGTTGATGGTGAACAGATCTGGTCTTGCCTTCTGTGGGGTGTCTGATACTGAAATGAGGGGGAGCAGCGAGAGATAGAGATACAATGATCTATAATTTTCCTTTCAATATAGTACTGTGGGGATTTTGAAGGAATTTTGAATTAATTAGAGATGGGACTTCTGAGTTGCTTTTGATGGTTTGATTTATTTTTCTTATTTTCTTATTTTTCTTATTTTCTACATAGGCAGGAAGGGTGAGTTTGGCTCACATCTTCACTGCATTGCTCAGATGGTCACAAGACCTCCAGTTACAAGTTTTAAGGAGTTATTAACCAATAAAACACTGCTAACAAGGATATTTATGCTTTTGACTCAATCTTTAAATATTTCATCTTATGGACTCAAGCTGGAGTGTAAGCTTTCTTAGCCGATCATATTATGACACACAAACTTACAATACTACACTTTTAAAACTTTAAACTTTACTTAGCTTAACGTGTCTGTGCTTTAAAACCACATTCTTGCTTCTAGCACCTAAGTTTGGAAGCCTTTTCCAAGGTCTCAGATCAAATCCTATGTTTAATTCTAAGCTTTGGTTTACAGGCCCAAAGTTCGGAGAATTCCCTGCATTTTGGATTCCAACAAGTACTACTAAGTTCAAAGTTTGTTCTGAAAAGAAAACCAGTGTGTTTAGTTTTTTGAAGGTTCTCCCCAGGGTTTATGAACTGGAAACCCCACTGGGGATGTCCAGCTTTAAGAGGAAGATTATTGTTCTGCTATGGCAGATTTGTAAGTAGAAAATTGCCTTAATATAGTATGTTCTTAAATCTTACATGTCATCTTATTCAAAAATGATATTACAACAGTAAAACTAGGAGTGCAAACTAGATAAGGCACTGTTGTTGTTGATGTCAGCAGTACATGTTTGCAAAAGTTAAGGTTTTTTTCCAAAACTACTCATGGTAACTCCTTTCAGCAGTAACAGTATAGCACAGGGTGCTTGTGTTCTACAGTAACTTCTTAGCAGCAAAGTATGAAGTCCTTTTGTCCACCTGTGAAATACTACTGCATTTAGGTGTATTATGTATATTTTTACAAATAATAATACATCTCTTATTTACTTAAATGTTAATATTTTAACAAAACATGGAGTAACAATTTTTTATTTAATTATTTATGTAACTCTTCTGATATGTCTGCCATTTATTTGGGGTCTTCATTACATTTGTAGGTCCATTAGTTTCATTTTGGGAAAGATTCGTTATCAATTTTTTTCCCCACTGATATTTGGAATTAAATGTCTCAATTTGTTAGGGAGTGCTGTATGCAGCTGATTTAAAATAATAGTAAGCAACCATTTGAAGGAGAAAAGCAGAGAGATTATGATCTTTATTACATAAATAAATCTGTGGGCTCCTTTATTGCAACAGGCTTTTTTGTCAGCATGCATTTTTCATGTTGTGTTTCCTTTGGCAAGATGAATTTGGGTATATAAACCTTTCAATACCTAAAGGGGAATCTACAGGAGAGCTGGAGAGGGACTTTTTACAAGGCCATGGAGTGAAGAGGACAAGGGGGAATGGGTTTAAACTAAAAATTAACAGGTTTATTCTTCAATAAATTTTTCACTGAGGATGGTGAGGGACTGGCACAGGCTGCCCAGGCAGCTGTGGATGTCCCATCCCTGGCAGTGTTCAAGGCCAGGTTGGATGGGGCTTTCAGCAATGTGGTCTAGCAGAAGGTATTCCTGTCCAGTGGCAGAAGGATTGAACTAAGATGATCTTTAAGGTCCCTTCCAGCACACACCATGCTGTGATTATGAGCATTGAAACAGAATGGAAAATAGGTAACTTACCTATACCAGGTATACTGGTATCAGTATACCTACTGATAATTTCATTCTTACTGCAGAATGAAACCTTTTACATTTGCAGTGATGAGTATTTTCCAGGAATTTTCATATGCTTTTCAGAATTTAACTTAGCTGTCAGAGTACTCAAAGGATCTAAATATAGCAGACTGTAGTGTTCTGAAGTGATAGTTTAGAATGAAATTCCACATCTCAAAAGTGGCACCTGTTAGATCAGAATTATGCCCACTCCTATTGCATTTCACTCTCCATTTCTGGTTCCATGCATATTAATGATGATTCAGTATGCCTTTTGAGCCTGGCAGTCTGATTTTTACAGCTAAGAGGTAAATATAAATAGCATGATTTCATGAATTGAAAAACAGATTTCCTCCCAAAGCAGATGTTTTTTATCAAGCTAGTGGTAGGATATTTCAAGGCAAGATTACTGTTCATATTTACATTTAAAGATAAAGGGAGAAAATAACATCTTGGTATATTTG